GATCGTTTACTTTGTTTTTTTCAGCGGGCTCAATAAATGAGTAAAGAGTAGACTAAAATTGAACAAGGAGTCAATCCTGAATTCCTGAATCTTCATTATTACTGTTAGACTGTCAATTTTTCATTGATGACCCGGTACTATTCACCACTTAAATCACTCAATAATCAGTTGTACATATCTTGTATGAGCACCATTACCACCATAACATAAAAAAAATAGTCAATGGAAATATTTCGCCGTAGACTTTTGTAAGTTGTTACTCATACTTTTTGATTATATTTTACTAACTCTCATGATGACACTCTCTTGTGTATGTAAATACATTTTGAAAAATGGCATACGCGACTTATACGCGTGAAGGCGGTGAGGCCGTGAGCCGTGAGTCACACTTACTGTCTCACATAGAGTCACAGATCAGACATATTAAAAATAAATTAAAAATAGAGTAAATACAGTTGTTTGGATCGGTTCTGCTAAACGCCAAGTGCCAACTTTACCAACTGCCACATGTCTTTTAGTACTTTTTTTTTTAGCAACCTACGGAAAATAAATAAATACTAAAAATAGTGAATAGGCTGTATCAGTCTGTCACTGACTCACTGATGAGGCAGGGAGACAGGGACTCAGGGTCCCAGGGGACTCACTCACTCAACTCTTGATAGTGGAGTGATGAGATGACTGACGACTGCGTCTGACGTTTGACGACCTGAGTGAAGCCTGAGTCTCGAAAAGTCGAGGGGGTTTTTTTTAATTTAAACATTGACAAAATAATATCATGACCCTCTAAGAAGTAAGAAGGCTCCACGAAGGACGTTTCTTCCAACGAAAAGTTTTCTCAATTTTAGTTTTAATTTTTACGAAAATAAAATTGTTTTGTTTTGTTTTTTCATTCCCGGGGGGAGTGTCCCGGGCAGGGCCCTGGCGCCCGCCCTGCTCTCCTGAATGCAGTGCAGCACTTGCAGGCCCAGCTTCCACGCCTTCAACTTCCACGCCTTCATGTATATATAAAAAATAGTATTAAAGGTAGCATTATATAAATACTTCAAGTGTATATAAATAAAGGAAGTATTAAGCTCAAACTGACACTTAATACCAAATCAGCAGTGAAACAAGCATCATGAAGTTGGATATCAGGAAAACTGTATGTATAGTAGCGACAGCCAGCGCATGCTTGGGCGAGCATCTGCAGTTTCCGCTTCTCTCTGGGTGTCAGGTGCTCATATTCGAATCTTGGATTAATTTTGAAACAGATGCCTGGTGACAGGTGGTACTATGGGAATTGGACGTGGAATTGCCGAAGTTCTGGTGGCAGAGGGTGTCAACGTGCTTATTAACGGACGGAACCCGAAGACCACACAGGAAGCTGTGGACTCAGTCAACAGAATGGATTTGGGACCAGGAAAAGTAGTTGGAGGTATGTTGCAACACAAAACCATGAACGCTTTTATATATCGCGATATTTCTCACT